AGTCAGGGAGGGAATTTAGGTGGGGTCAAATACCTTCACATCATCTTGGGTCCGCCCTGAGTCCGACTCCTCCTCTTCCTATAAAAATAAAAATGAACAGGGTCACCACAGCCAAAACCATAATCAAGAGCTCCCCCCTCAGGTGTAAAACTAAAGTTTCAACCATAGTGCTCTGACTGAGAATGAATGGGGATTCAGTTGACTGTGGCCTTTTTTCTGATTAATTTAATTATAGCCGATGTCATACAACGGTCCCACACTAGACAGTGGGAAATAGCATCAATCAAATAATCAGAGTTGAAATTAAAAAAAGAGGGACCATTGTAAATTTACAAGAAAGCAACGTGCTATATTTTGATATGAAAAAGGAATATTTGTACTGAAAGTACTTATAATGACAAATAATAAGAACTACTAGATCACAGTGTTTAATATAATATGTCAGAGTGTTGTCACATTACGGAATAGTTTCTAATGTTTATATGGCACTAATATTATTAGCTAGAATAAAAATAATGTTCATTTAAAACAGATGGAAATTTGCATATTGTGTAATTATCTGAAACTGAAATTCTTCAGTTTCAGATTTAAAATTTAAATATTTATCACTTTTTCTACTAATGATACTGATAATTAAAAAAACAATAATGGACAATATAAAAAAATGTATATGATCACATTTTTTTTCTTGTAATTTGCCAGTTTTTGGTTGCAGAATTGTACTGTTACATCCTTTTATTACAACTGGCTCTGATCTCCTCTAATTAGTGGAAGGTCCATTAAAAATGTGAATTTGTGAATTACATTCCATGTGAATGTAATGGGCAGACATTTCTAGAAAACCCCTAAACTGAAAGTTGTGGTTAAGGCTGACCGAATTTCTAGTGCTGTCATCATCACTGTCCTCATTCTCCGAGGGCTTCTCATCTGCCTCCTCCACACGACTCACTTCATCCTCTCTGTAACCAGCCGACACCAATCCACCATGAGATTCTGACAGACAAGCACACAAAAAAAGCTTTTTCAATTCCACTGAGGCCGTATTTACAAGTGTATGACCTGTTAATGACTTAATCGACCATTCCTGATGATATCAAGGAGCGATACGGCATACTACCAGATTTGTTACCATGCTCAAGTAACAAAAATATCTAAAAATCAAACTCTGAAACGTACTAACACTATACAAAATAGATCAAAATGAGACAGAAATCATAAATACGTAACACAAAAGTGAAAGTGTGAAGTACTGTGCCAAATCCTGTTTTTAACAAAGATACTAATGAATTTGAATCAAAATACCACAGATTTCACACAGTTACAACAGTTAATACTATAGTTACTAGTTAT